AAGCTGGCAAGGTACTTTCTATTCCCTGTAGACCCCTGCACCAAGTCACTACTTTACACACTTTAAAAGTGAATGGCCACCTGTGGTGCTAGTGCAATCCCAGCGTTCAGAAACTGGAGGAGGGAGGACCCAAAATTCAAGTTATTCTAGGCTACACCAGGAAACCCCATAACAAACCAAGCCAAACAGAACTCCAAAACCTCCTAAACAAACAAAAATCCAAACCAAACCAAAGCACTTTCAGTTTTAGACATACATTTGTAATGAGTACCTGACGGTTTGACACCCACATGTAAGACACACCAAGCACTCTCGCTCCTGTACCCTGACCCCACACCACCCGTCCCTCATGTTCACGTTTCCTTTCCGAGCCTAACCAGGACCACCACACTGCCTGTGGGTTTAGAGCCTGGAGTTGGAGCCCAGTGGGCTCAGCAGTGGCCGAGCAGACAATGGTTCCCTCTGCTGGGGACTAACGCCAGTGCAGTTCAGCAGCGAAGAGGAGGCCCGGGAGCCTCTCCCATGACTGACGGGCCAGGTCTGTGTGGGCTCAGTGAGGTGCTCACAGCTGTGAGGTCATGACTGCAACCACTGCATCAGATCTACAGGATGGCTCTCCGTTATCTGAGCAGGGGCTTGCTACACAGCCCAGTTTGGCTTTGAACTCAGGATTACCCTCCTGCTACAACCTCTGGTGTACCACCATGCCTGGCTAGCAAAGAATTTCAGAACTTAAAAAGAAGACAAGTTCATACCTAGCCTGGAACTCAAAGTTAGAGATTATTATTCTTAGCCATAAAGGTATACACCACAAGTAAGGTCCTAGCACATGAGACAATAAAAATGGAAGGCCTTTTTTAGAAGTTCTATACACAGTGAATACAATTTTGTAGTATAAAAATATTTTAAGAATGTACACATATAAGAATTGTGCACTCTTAAGTTTATTTTCATTTAATATAACATGAAGTTAACAGACATATATTTTAAGGTAACAAAATGTTATCATTAATAAGATTCTGCATTTTAAAGGGTATTTTAGTATAGCTGGATTTAACATTCAAAGTTTACTCATTTTTAAAATGTAAAACACACAATTATAATATCCAGATCTTACAATTTTAGTTTTAACCAAAACATTTGCAAGTAAATTCAAGAAGTATCCTATATTTCAGACAAAAAAAAAAAATACACAACTAACAAAGTGCCAATGGGTTAGACAACGTCATCTGCTCTGTTTTTTTCTGGGAGGAGGGCAAAGTCCATGATCATATACAGCTAGTCATTTCAAGTCGTGGTTTAGAACTAGTCGTTTGAAGTATACTTCATAATAACAGTGAGTGCGTACTTGTCCATTATCATGATGACGAATCAGCTCATGAATGCAGCTGTGCTCCTTACTAGGCTCTTCAGTCACTGCGGAATAGTTTAGTATCCAGTGTTTCTAAGAGTACAGTTTCAAAGTAAGACGAACCAAGTCCCACCAACATCAAGAAATGGTCTCTAAGAACTTCATATAAATACAGAACCTTCCTTGTTACTTACTAGGGTCAGATCTGTTTTATGATGTGGCCAGCAGCGATGGAAAAGCTTGGCAATAAGTGTTTCCAGCAGGTGATGGCCTTGTGTGCACAGCCCGAAGACGTACCCTCCACATGAAGGAGACAGATTACCAGATGTTTACAGCTCTCTTCGGGCACTTGACCTCACTGGTAGTTATGTTGGTGTTTGAGTGTTTAGTTAATAGACAAATTAAATCACAGTGACTCCAAACTGTGTTTCCACAGAACATCTGTGCTCCATAGCTAAATCCCAATGTTCCCTGTACAATCAAATAATAATGCTGTTTGTCCAATTCAGAGAACACATTTCACAGATTTAAGTTAATAGATTCAATTTTAAGATTTTTCTACCATAGATTTAAAAAATCTTTGTTGTCTATACTCATCAGAATGCTAAGAGAAACAAAGGCTTGAGAACTAGGAAACATTATACCTGAACATCACAAGATTTGAAGGTTCATCGGCACAATAGACTGTTTATGGAAATATGCTTTGATAGTTTTGCTTTCATACTAGAGATCTGCATTTTCTCATGGCAAATATGAATTCAATATGTAAACATTTTAAGATACCCAAAGAGTTAGGATTTCCTGTCTGTTTTTGAATGTGTCTGAGACCCACTGCATCAATGTCCAGCTCCAAAACCCTCTTTGGGGTCCATGCCAAAAGGATACTAACAGATACATAACCAAGAACAAGATTTCAAGGCAAGGCCACTGGGAAGATCCCAGTACAGCTGCTACTAATGCTCCCATTTTTCTCAAGTACTTACCATATAGCTTAATTATGTTATACAAGAATTTCTGTTTATATGTATTACAGTATTATGACGAGAAAAACCTGCAATCTGTTTGAAGACAGCTAGCTTTAAAATAACAACACTGCAGCTCTTAGCACAAACAGCCCTGAGAACAATGCATCCAAATTCCAGCTCAACTAGAAACAATCTAATTGGGAAACCTTAGAAGTATAAAATCAAATTCTGGAAAACTTATTAAAAAACCCAACATTTGAGGCACTACAGACTACAGTACTTTAATAGTTGGAAGGACTTTGAGAAAAGAACAGAGCTAAGTGTGTTTATACACACACACACACACACACACACACACACACACACACACACACACACACACCATGTGGTAATGAAAAGCATGTGTCCCCAAATATTCTAAATATCATATTGCAGTATCTTCTGCTAAAGATATCACGCCTGGCCTCAAGAGTTTTGGTCACTGATATAAAGCACTGGCACAAAAATCTGTACTACGAGGGGGAACAGAGTCAAGAGCTTGGTTGGTAACCAAGTGACTGGCAGCCCCCTCAGGGCATCAAGGATTAGAAGGCCAAGTTAAGGACCAAGGGTCAGAGGGCAAAGGACTGTACCAGTGTAACAAAATCTTCACAGTAGACATACAGTCTGTTGTTCTAGAATGAAAACATTCAACCTGTTCATACTGTCTAAACAGCAAAGAAAGAAAGAAAACTGTACAGACATGAATTTGCAGTGACATCCAATGAGTCTCCATTCTCTTCACGGTGCTTGTGAAACTGGAGATCTGCTACAAGAGCACGGCCAGCACTAGGGATCAACTGTTAGCATTTCTCTCATGTCCAAAGACGCCATTCCTGGTTTATGTTAAAAATATATATGTTCCCTGCTTCCCTGTACTAAATGAAATATTTTGCTCTAAGAGAAACATTTATGTGAAAATAAACAGTCCTGTATCTTTAAGATCTATACATAGTGGAGTATGTACACTTACTTCATAGAGTACTTAACATGAAATACTTTCGCCATTCAAGGTATGGAGCTAGAGATACATTGCTATTCACTCTTACACTGCAAAGGAAAATAGAGATTCATGTGAAATTTGACGAGTTAGGAAGAACAAGGGCATGCTAGTCCTGAAGTAATATGAAATCAAAACATCGGCGTGGTTATTAATTGGCCAAATGACCAGGAAACAGTAGGAATAACTTTTTGGAATTCCTGTGGGTAACACACCAATCAGTACAACTAAGGTACACACAAAAACACTGGAAATCTGAAGCAGTATGTAGAACATATTTGAGAAGATTTCAGCCCAATTCCTAATTGTGCTTTGCATGGGCAAAAGCTAAAAGGTCACACTAAAGTCACCTGGCTATGACTTGAATTTTTTCTTGTGCTTTAGAAGTCTCTTCCTGGAACTTCTCTTAAAGTATCTTTCTTCTTCTCTGGATTGGTTTGTGGAGGCTAAGACAAAATTTAAAACTGCATACAAATGAAGCAACTAAAATCTTGGCATTTCTACTGCTCTTCCCCACTGCTGATCAGATCAGCTGCACTGTCACAGAGGTGTGTCTAGATGGGAACACAGGACTTTGCGGGTGCAGACAAGGAAGAGACCCGAGAGCCAGGGTCAGAGAATCAGGGGCTACAGGATTTTGTTCTAAGCTGCACTCCAATGCGATGATTGTGATTTTTGTCAGAGTTCTTCACAAACCCAGAACTATGTCTATGAGTCTGGACACAATCTACATACAATCCAAAAATCTAAACAGAAATGGAGGGGCATCACCCACAACATATTGAAATAATCCAGTTCACAGAATCCTTTCCTGGTTAGATTTACATCAGTAACAGAAGTCACAAGAGAATATATATATATACACACACACACTTAAAATAAGTTAATTTTCAAATAAGGTAATACTTCTTCCATGGTTTACATCTATTTCACTTTAGAAAAGCATAGAGACATTTAAAACATCAAGTCAAGAATTCCAAAGCGGCCGGGCGGTGGTGGCGCACGCCTTTAATCCCAGCACTTGGGAGGCAGAGCCAGGCGGATCTCTGTGAGTTCGAGGCCAGCCTGGGCTACCAAGTGAGCTCCAGGAAAGGCGCAAAACTATGCAGAGAAACCCTGTCTCGAAAAACCAAAAAAAAAAAAAAAAAAAAAAAGAATTCCAAAGCAACAATTCCAAAGCAACTTAAGAATTCCTAATCATATCTAACGTCAAAAACAAATATACTTAAAAAATTGTGAGAAGGGCTGGATCACCAACATTATGAACACCCACAAATAATGGTTGGAAGTTGGGCAGAGTCCCTGTAAGGCCCGTCCTTCTGGTGCTGGGGCAGGGGCTGGGGACACAGCCAGAGGCAAAACCATAACTAGAGCCCACTCTACTTTGTGTGCTGACTGGAAGGTCTGAAACAAAGCCCACCGCCCACTGCCCCCTTGGCCACTGTCCTGGGTCTTCCTTAGCACTTGCTCAGATCTACCCCGGAGTTCTATCTCCTCTGCCAACCACAACAGGTACTGAACCCTATGGAGGTCTGTCACCAATTTGACAAAGAAAACCATAATGGAGGTGATACATGGGACACTTGGCCACCAAGATAACGACATTTTTTGATGAGTTTAATTTCAGGAAGTGTGTTTGCCACACAGAGCCTGGAGTTTTGACAATTCCATCTTATAATCTATGAATTCTAGATATTAAGCCTGGAATCAGCAAAGAACAACTCAACTTAAATGCATGAAACTTCGATTGCACTAGATGCTACATTGTTGAATTAAAACCCTGGTTTGTTAACCACTTAAGTTCAGGAGTGATTTGCTCAGACAAGTGACATCTACTGAAGCTATTTTATCTGTTTCTTATGGTCACATACTGAAAACAGCAGGAATGTTATAGGAAAGATACTTATAAAATTATATATCTTGATATATTCTTTTCAAGTTGCTAACTGCCTGCAAAACTAAGCCAGCACAATTTCAAAACAACAGACACATAACAAAAATAAAACGTGAGGTTGCTTATGAAGGCCATAGCTTTGGGACAACTAGATCCAGACCTAATGGACCTGCTCGTGCAGATGGTCCTGTCTATTTGCAGGGCTTTATGGCTACAGCATATTCTTCACTCATGGCACACATGACAGACACCTAGAAGGGGAAAGGCAAGCAAAGAGTTACTCAGGAGGTAATACGCAGAAAAGATGTGTTGTGTTCATCCAATACTGTAGACCTGTGGATTTCTTTTATAATGAATTTGTCAAGGGGTAATCCAAAGCAGTTAGCCTATCTTCAGGACAGTTTTCTAGAGTAGAATTCCTCAGATGGTAGCTCAGAATGACTTCCAAGTAAACTGGACACACTCTATCAACAGTTACTTCATATTATACTTCTGAGTTAGAACAAGGAGTCCATCTTTCCCCTCTGTACTTCTTTCATTCCTTAAACTCATAGGTAGATCTAAAATAAGTATGGAGTTCCATGTCAATCCAGAACAAAGAAAACCAACAAACAAAAGCACCTTCCAAACCTGATGCTTTCTTTGGTAATAGGTCTGTAAGGATGCCATGGAAATTGCCTTATGGAGATCATTTCAACATTTCAGTGTATTTTCAAGTTGTATTTCACAGCTTTTGGAATTTATTTTATGAATTATTGTTGTGTGTGTGAACAGATGAAAACTATTTTTATTAAAGGTGAAGAAACACACAGACAGCAAGGTGTTCATTTAATGACCCCTGCAAAGCAGAGGCTCTCAGGAAGCTGAGGTCTGCACCTATAGTTTTATGCTGACCTGTTCAGGGCTAGTTTAAAAACATGGCTTCGAGAGTCTGCCATTGGTCTTACCTGCACATCTTCACCTGCATTGTATTTTCCTTCTATTTCTTTGCCCAGTTCACCTTCTGGTAGCTTAAGATCCTCTCGGACTTCACCAGTTTCTGTTAGCAGGGAAAGGTAACCATCCTGAATGCATATGAGCTATTAGAAGAAATTACAAGTGCATACCGATTAGATCATATCCTCTTTGTTGTAATGTTTACACAGTTCAACTGCAACACACATTAGGGTGGATAAGAACACAGCAATACATGAACAGATTTGTGGCATTCAAAATGCTAACATGCCTCATGCCTTTAGTTCTACCTAGCACTTGGGAGGCAGAGGCTAACCTGGTCTACATTGCAAGCTCCAGGCCAGCCAGTACTAAATAGTGAGACCTTGTTTCAAAAAGAAAAAAAAAGAGTAAAATTCAGGCATGTGTAATACCCCAGAAGACGTGTAATCCAGTCCCTGGGCTAGCCTCGCCACTTCCTGCACTGCCAGGGCATTCATAGTTAGACACAATACGACAAAGCTGTTCCTAGGGAAATGATACACCGCAGGAAACTTCTTAGCAAGATGCTTTAGAAACCTGGCAAATCAGAAAATATAACTATTTTCCTTTAATCACCACACATGTACATGAACATACTGTATGCAAAAATTTGTTAGTGGACATCAAAGTTATTTTTAGTTTTTTCACTATTAAAATGATGCATTTTATAATTTGATTACAAGCAAAATTAAGTGGAAATTTTTTGGTCTTTAGACCAGTGTTAACAGATTTTTAATACACTTTCGTGCATCTATATGTCTATACACAAATGCATACATATATAAAATATACAATATACTCTATCATATCTCTCTCTCTCTCTCTCTCTATATATATATATATATATATATATATTATAGTATATAGTATTTTGATCTTATTTCCACGTTACCATCTCTTGACCCCTCCTCCCCTGCAGCTGATCTCAACTAGCCCCTCTTCTATTTTCAAGTCTTCTCATTTCTTGGTGAGCTATCAGGGTTGCTTACTGAGCATGGGTGAGGGTTGTTTAGAGGAGTCTGCTGCAGCTTTCTGGCACTACACCGCTGAAGGAGAGATCTCTCCTTCCACTAGGATCCACTGACTGTCTGTAGACCCTCAGGGAGGGATGGTGACAGACTCTTAACATTACCTTAGCTTACAGTCATAATCTAACCCGTAAAAAAAGCACACTTTTTGATACAATGCTTTAAAAATATTTTTCTAATTATGTGTAGCTGTGCATGTGTGCATCTGTGTGTTTATCTGTATAGGAGCTTAAAGAGATCAGAGGTGGCAGAATCCACAGGAGACAGAGTTTAAGGTAGTTGTGAGCCTCCCAATGTGAGAGCTGGGACCTGAACTTGGGTTCTACAGAACAGTAGTACCTGCTCTTAACTGCTGGGCTCTGTCTCCAGCCCCATATCAACTCTTTTATTACAGGAGTGAGGAAAACAGCAAGTACTCACCATCAGTGTGCCTACAATTCCAAGACACTTTGCAAAAACCACTCATCTGGACTATCAGCTGCTCATATACATACATACATATATACATACATACATAATACATAATACATACACATGTGCGTGTGCGTGTGTGCGTGCGTGTGTGTGTGTGTGTGTGTGTGTGTGTGTGTGTGTGTGTGTGTGTAATGGGACATGGGCTCTGACATCTGTAACCAGCTCTATGATATAAGCCAGCATAACATATAGGAATGTCAAAGTGTTCCATGAACACCACTTAACAGGCTTGCTATGCATAGGAGAGTCAAGCCTTGATTCTACACAGTGAATACTATGAACTGTAGCAGTATTTTCTTGTGGGGACCATTAGCCCATAAATAACGACACAGAGACATTATTAATTATGAAATCTTGGCCTTAGCTTAGGCTTTTTTCTTAAATAGCTCTTATGACTCAAGTTAACCGGCTTCTACTAATCTACCTTCTATCACATGGCTGGATTACCTCTCCTCTGTACTGTATCTCCAATTTGTTTTGCACCTTCCTGGTGTCTGCTTGCCTCTCTTCTTCCCAGAGTTCTCTCTGTCCTTGGAAATCCCATCTATTCTCTCCTGCCTAGCTATTGGCCATTCAGCTTTTTATTACACCAATCACAGCAACACATCTTCGCCCAGTGTACAAATCTACAACAATGGACTTTTTGTCACTCAAGTGTTGGGGAAGTAGCTGGGAAAACAGTGAAGTACAAGCAGTGTGAGGCGCAGGCAGTGTTTACATCTCTGAGGAGAGGCGCTTACAGGAGGCAGACTGTCCCCTTTCAGCGGCTCCTGAGGTAGAGTGCCATACTTCAGGATGAAGGGTTCCTATTGCTACCAGTGACTGAAACGCAGGAGCCAGATAATAACAATGGGATCTTATAGTTATTTACAAATATATTGTTTTAAGAGTCAGAATTCATGAAATGAACTGCGGTGAAATATATGAAGTATTTCAAGACAAAAATGCATAACTGTAATATAAGCATGCAGTGAAGCCGAACATACATGAACGTTAAGGAAATTATTTAAACAGTGCCCATCTTTACCTAGATTCACCCCTTGTTAGCACCTAAACTGTCTGTGTATGTCTTTGTATGTGTGTGTGTGTGTGTGTGTGTGTGTACACACATACAGTATACAAAATACACTGCTATACATTCTTGTTTTTTACTGAATCATTTGAGAACACGTTTCACAGATGACGACTTTTCAGATATAAACACTTCAGTACATTTACCCCCCAAACACGGACACACTCTTATGTAAACTTTCCAAACTAATCTTTTACCTATCTTCAAATGTGCCACTTGTCCTGATAGTCTGATAGCAACTTACCGTGCCTGGATAACACCCTGAAGTTCTCTGCTGTTGTGTGGGTTTTGTTTCTTATAATGTGGAGCAGCTCTATCACCCTGCCTGTCAAGACATTGACACTGACTTCATTTAGAGAATGTCGCTCAGTCTGGGTCTGCCTTGTTACCTTGTAATTCATGTAATGTATTTTTGGAAGAAACTAAATGATGTATCGGTGGATCACCAATCACACCAGAAGGCAAATATACCTATCACACTAATAGAGATGCTAACCCTGACCACCTGGCTACTAAGGTGGTATCTGCAAGATCGTTATGGTCTAAATATGGTTCTTTCTCTCAAAAGGAAGGAAGAAGCCAATGGTGTTACTGTTAAATTCTCAAAGCCTTTCGGATTAGAACACATATAATACACGCAGTTGGTGTCCCAGACTGCTGACCAGCACCTGAGACTTACTGGCACTGAAATGTGGTGTCTTCTCTTTACTAAAAGGTCTTACTAAAATAATCAAGGGCTACTTGGGAAACCAGGTGATTTCACATTCAGAGTGGTTAGTGTACATAATGAATCTCATACTTCACTAGAGTATAAGGAACTATCAAGACTGTTGTTAGGCACAGTCCAAAGGGACTCAGGAATTAGTGTGACTAAGCTCACTTTGGCCAGTAACAAAACCACCTGGAAATTAATATGGAAGACAAAGATAATGTACTGAAACTCAAATATGTTGTTGTCTGAGTTCCTAGTAAAGGTCAGTTTATCGGTTATCTTCAGTGCACACCTGGAACAGATCGTTTCAGAAACTGATATGGGAGCAGGTGAGAGAGCCCAGTGGGTAGGGAACTTGCTGCCAGGCTGACAATTTGAGCTCAGTTATTACACAGTAGGAGAACCAAGTCCCTCAAGTTTTCCTGACCTCCACAGTTCCATCGTGGTGTGTGTGTGTGTGTGTGTGTGTGTGTGTGTGTGTGTCCCTGTGTGCACACATAGACCCACGCATGCGCACATGCACACACACACACACAGAATGAGGGAGAGAAGGATAGGGAAGAGGTAAAGAGAGAGAGAGAGAAGAGGAGAAGAGAGGAGAGGGAGAGGGAGAGGTGTTTTTTAAATGTTAAAATCCCTGGTAACGAAAGGCAGAGTGATGTATTTATTCCTTGTGTATTTGTACACATGCATGAGAATGTACTCAGGAGATGTGTGCCCTAGTCCTCAAGGTAAACAAAGCAAGCGATGACGAGTTTCCACAGAAGTAGTCTGGCTCTCAAAGAAATGGAGGAATACCGGATCATTGCTTTGTTTCCTTGAAATGAATGGAATGAGGCAATGATGACGCATATATATAATAACGTTACAGAAAAACCTAAGATTCCGCTGGGTGTGGTGGTGCATGCCCTTAACCCCTTAATCCTCGCACCCCAGAGGCAGAGGCATGTGGCCCTGAGTTCAGCAGGGGCCCTAGTTGGTTTCCCACACTCCTACGGATGATGCCCTATCTATCTATCTATCCCAAGTGCACATGCAGCACTTACTGGACCAGTGGGTTACGTAATAAAGAGAGAGATGTGAAGTTGGGGAGAGCCGTGGGAGGGGCAGGCCTGGGGGTGCTGGAGGAGGGAGAGTAGACATCATCTAACTGCACTGCATTCATGTATGAAATTTCCAAAGAATAAATGAAATGCTTTTCAAAGGAGTAGGAGGTATCATATATTGATAAGTATCAAATCCAGGTGATATGTATGTGGGATTTTGATACTCAGAAAATTCCACATCAAAAAGAAAAATACAGCCAGTGAGACAGCTCAGCAGAAAAGCATTTGCTGCAGAAGCCTGATGATTTGAGTTTGACTCCTGGAATCCACATGTGGAAGAAGAGAACTGACTACTACCATGGCGTGAGTGTGCATACATGCATACACAGAGAAATAATAAAAGTACACAGGGAAAAGATGCAGAGTTCTAGAAAGCGAGAGCACTGGAACTATAAATGCTGCGGGGAGACGCAGTGGGCTGAGAGAGGACGAGATAATCGGAAGGGTGCAGGGGCCGTTAGTGACCACAGATCCTGCCAATGATGTGCCCAGAATAAGGCAGAGCGTAGAGACGGGGGTTAGGGAAGGGTGGCTCTGTTTTGTTTTCTGCCTGTGTTTGTATTACTAATACACAGCAGGTGGCGGGGAAGACTGTCACTACGAGTGCTCTTAGCCCCAGTTTCTGAATTTGGCTTCACATTCTATTTCAAAACCAGCAGCCGTCACTATGAAAGGTGAGACTTTCTTCCAACTTCAGCCTTCTCTCCCTGGCACCTTCAGCTACTTCCCAGAATATGCTGGCCCCCGGTGAAGGGAGCTCTTAAACATTACTATTATATCACCTAAATCAGTAAGATGAGCATCGGCTGGCGGGTCACCTGACCCGGCGGGTCACTCTGTTGGGTATGCACAGGCCACATGAAGTGAAGAAGCATCACAAGATAACACGATAGGGCTCAGACTCAGAGAGCACTTTCCCCCACACTGACCACTTCTCCCCCCGTGAACTTATACCAATGGCTTGATGGGGAATTCTTTCTGTGAAAACAGAAACTTCAGAATCATTTTTAGTGGCCATGAAAGATAGGAGGGACCATGCAGACAGGGCTGTGACAAATGGTGGGGCTGGGGAGACCTCTACTGTATTGGTTGCTACTGCATATGGGCAGAGTCAAGAGTTGGGTTGGAAGGTCGAGGACACTGGAAAAACAAAGCTAGGAAAATTGTTAATGAGCTCTAGGGTAGTGGTCTATGCACAGACCTCTCTAAATGAAAGCAGATGTTCACTGGTGGGTGCCAGCTGTAAATGAGGCTCTTAATTAGATGAAACACTGTTACTGCTGGATACCACTTTGTGGGCCTCGAGTACTGTTCTACAGGTTACAATATAATACAAGCTGCTATTTTTCCTGTAGGTAGAAGCCATTGGCTTAACAACCTATCACGGCTCTTTTCACTGTTATCTCTAATGATCCTGTAGCAATATACCTGCCCCTTCTCCCTAAATTCTGGTTTAGTGGTCTTCCATTCTCACAGACAGAATGCTTCCTTGAAGAACACAAGGCACTCATAGAACAGATTAAAATGATAACAAGATTTTCAAGCACAGGGAATCATAGCATCATTATTTTCTTTACTACTATTATTTTAATTTGCAATATGGAGGCTGTGAGATGGCTCAGGGGATAAAGGTGCTTGCCTACAAGTCCTTACATCCCTAGGACACACATGAGAGATGGAGAGAACCAACTCCTGAAAATTGTCCTCTGACCTCCCCACGTGTGTGCATGCAGGGACACACACACACAACGCTAAATAAATGCAATGTGGATTCAAAAGTCATATTCTGGCAGTCCACTGATCACCTAAGGGTCTATGATATGCACTTTATATGTCGTGTACTAAGAGCTTCCCCTACGAGGAATGGTCTTCAAACGACAGAAAAGTGTGGCAAGTCCAGAAAACACTGACTCTGTAGTAGAGTGTACAACACCACAGAAATTCTAAAACAGTGACTCCAAAGAATAACCTAAACAAGCCAGTTCTACGTTTGACAATTTGGGAATTCTCCCGAAGGGCCTGAATGCATTTTTTATTTTACACCACCACAGGGCCCCAGACAATTATAACTTCTTTTGAGAAAACTAATGGAAATTAGCAATTCTAATCTGGGCCAATCTTGGAATGGGAGTCAGGAGACACTTTCTTGCATCCTGAATTTATTTTAAGAATACACAAATTACATCTGTAAATATTAACATATTTCTTCTCCCATTTTTTAAAAAATTATTACAATGAATAGATGTACACAATCTACTTTGGCTGGCAGTCAAATTGGGACTCAAAATAATGAATTCAGCAGATGCAAAGGAACTGGTATAGGAAAGCCAGATAATAACAGAAGCAGGGATTTAACCAAGGCACTTGGAGAGGGGAGTGAGGACCACAAGAGTATAATAAACATATTAGAAAGCTCACAGAACCAAGTTCCTAACTGAACGACTAGAAATAAACATTCAATGCCAAGGGAAGCTGCAGACCCTGGGCACTTCCTATGTCAGACCTGGTCCTGAGTGTTCACTGACCTCCTATGCCAGGCCTGGTCCTGAGTGTTCACCAAGCCTCAAAACGGTCCCGTAAGAAGCTTGTTATTCACATCCCAATTTTATGATGAAAAAGAGACCAGAGAGACTGAGTAACTTGCCAACCAAGGTCACACAGTAATAAGTGTCAAAACAGACCAAGATCCAATCGGCTGACACCATCCTTGACTATCCACTGTGCCATGTGGACTACACACTAAGGGTGGGACTAGGGAGAAGTAAATACTACCTCTTGGGTGCATGCTTGAGTAGGCACCCAAGCACCCCCACCACAGAACACTTCAAAGAGAAAGAATGAGAATGCACAAACTGCGTGACCAGCAAAGCGAACATCCGCAGTGGAGACAGGAGTAATTCTCCCCTTTGCCCTAGGCCTGCGACATGGCTGGCATTGCTATTAGACCTGTCTGCTTAACTTCTGCACAGGAAGCGAGGGGCACACTCGGACCTTACTAAACACCCACATAAAACCTGAACCAAATTCGTCCTTTTATGCTCAGTTTTAAGCTTCAATCAATGATTCACTAATTTGACCATAGCAATTATGTGAACTGTGGTGTCAGCTTGACAAAGTATCAACAGGTAGGAACATGGGGAAACACCACTGAATACGATGAATACTGAGTATTCAAGACATTCACCAGACAGGATGAGAAAAGAAATCCATCTTGGCAAAAGTAAATTCTATACTTAGCCTTAATCATCTTATACACCACCACACTGAATAAACATATCCATTTAACTGTTTCCTGAGAGCCTACTACATACCATATCTAAAGCCAGTGAGCTGAGAACATGGAGATGATCAAGTAGAATCTGACACAGAACATGTGAAGCAGAACAGAACTACTTGTCGGCGTACACAGCTGCTATGGTCACACACTTTCCAAATCACCCTTGGTTTGTAGACTGAAGGCTGCACACTGTGGGAAACACACTGTGTAAAGACCACCTGGCTAGAAAGTGCCAGGACCAGACCAACCTAGATCTGCTTGACTCAAAACACCACTCGCTTTGGTGTTGACAGAACTATGAAAGTATTTTAAATTTGTGTGGACTCAATACAGAAAATATAAGTGGCACAGTGAAAACACAAAACTGTTCACCACATTAAAACTAGGAAAATGTTTACACATGGATAGCTTCAAAGGAAGTCACTGAGTGCACGAGGTGATGTGGACCTTCCCAAACCTTCTGTAGTGGTGCAGGCAGACCAGCTTAAGGCTAAGGGTCAAGCTCACACAGAGAAGATGGAAAGTTTATTTTACTCCACGTTTGGTACAAGAACTGCTTAGCCATGATCAATCAGAACTTCCCACATTCTAGAAGGCCAGTTACCATCAACACTCCAAACTGTAAAATGCTATCATTAGACATGACCTGTCTCCAGGGGTAACTGGAACTAAAACTTTTCTCCTTGTACTCAGTGGCCATGCACTTTATATTTATGGTTTTCAAGTTACTTCCTAGAATACCAGAATACTTTCAAAAATACCAGATTCTGACATGTAAAAACTTGGTTAGTAGGAATATGAATTCCAGTCTTGGAAGTCTTAGGTCTGCTCATTGAAAAGAAATACCACACTTAGGAAGGATTTATCTAAACCTGAAATAGTTTACAACAGAGAGAACAGTAATTTTACTATATATTAGATTTATTTACTTATTTAGTGGATGTATGTATGTGGCACATGTGTGTCACAGCTCCTGTGTGGAGGTCAGAGGACACAGGAATCAGTTGTCTCCGTCTGGAACTGAGCTCAGGGCCAGGCCTTGACACCAAGTGCCTTTCTTACGGAGCCATCTCACTGGTCCAATACAGTGCCTTTCCAATGCAGGGCAGAGGCTGGAGGAACAGCAGGATTGGTAGGGTGCTGGTCTAGAACATGCATGGGCCCTGGGTTTGATCCCCAACACAGCATAACAGGGCATAACCTGTAATCCCAGCACTCACAGGAGGATCAGAAATTGAAGGTCATCCTTGGATGACAAATGAGTTCAAGGCCAGTCTAGGATATAGGATCCCCTATTTCAAAATTTAAAAAAAAGCACAAATATTATCAAGAATAAAACAAAACACTATTTCTCTAACCTGTAAGATAAGTGGAGTCTACTAAAATTGGAGAGCAAAGGACCCTGTAAAACTACTCTCAGGTCTTGTCCAACTCCTACTAAATCGGGTGTTCAAGACATCTGAAACAGTATTATTAAGGAAATCAGTACTCACTTGATAATCGTTTCTCTTAATATTTGGAACATCCATGTTGTGAGTAGAAGGACAAATATCTTCATATTTTTTGCCAGTGAAAATATCAATTCCAACAAGGTGTACCTAACACAGGGAACAGGAAACACATTGATCTGTCAGGAGCTCATTACACCAGGGCACAACCCCAACACTGATGGGAATGGATTCTTTCACCCCTTTCCAAGGTCATCTTATTTTCTTTAAAAAAGTAGCAGTGGTCATAGAATTGGGGTTCAGTAAACACCTGACAGTTTCATGGAATCAAAACTCAACACACTACAGACCTCAGCACTTCAATTACAAAAGTCCACAGAAAATGAAGACCGGGTCTCTTAGAATTCTAAGAACAGGTTTGTTTCAACTGTAAATGAGATGTTTTGGATCACCAGATTCAGGAAAGTTTTAGTTTCCAGTTAATGAAACATTCTAAGGACTCAATTAAAGGAGAGCACTCAGAGTTAATAGGTGATCATTCAGAGACTAATGGATGAAAAAAAAGTTATGTTAAATATAGAAACCTCATGATGTAGAATGAAACACAAATGATATTATCGCTGAAGCCAAAGAACGACCTGGAAGGTCTTACCTTAGCATGACCATGCTTCCCGGTCTTGGAAGTTGACATCTCCACGATTTTGCAGGGTCGTCCTTTGAGCACCACGAAGCCGTTTTTGCGCAGGGCTGAGCACTGCATAGGGTAAGTGCTGGACGCCCCTGCATCTCCAGTAGTGAAATCAATTTCGTCTGCCATGATGGGCTGGGGAGATGTGAGGTTTTTCTGCGGGAACTATGCAAAAAGTTTGTTTGCTTTTTAATAAAGGGCATGTCTCATTCTGGGGGCAGGTAACAACGAGCATCACTGGCCCGTTATACTTGCATTTATAGGACACCCACTCTTGAGTGATGGATACTTTGCCATTCAGGCCTCTAAAAACTTTTCCAGCCCTTGGTGGGAGGTAGGGAGGGCAGACGCAGAGAAGCTCGCAGGGGAGAGAAGGCGACACCAGCCCCGGGCCAGCAGGTCCGATCCTCACCACCCCACCGCAAGAAGTGCCCACGACCTTCCTGCGCCGGGCTCCGGGGCCCGGCGCCTCCACCCCATCCCCGCTGCCCGGGCGTCAGCCAGGCCGCAGGTCCAGGGAAGGCTGGGACAGGGGCGCCCGGCCGGCAGCACCTGGCCCTCAGCGCGCCTAGCACCCG